AATGCTGAAGCTCGAAAAAGAAATGTGGGCAATACTGAGCAGCTGGACTGCAGGGGGCCCTTTATGTTGCCAATGCTGCCACCTAGTGGGTGGGTAGGAGATGGGCGGTAGCACATTGAAGGAGAAGCCCCAGGGGGACACAGGCTGAGATGGGTCCGTGCATTTGGCAGCGGACTGGACAAGTCTGTGGCAGAGCCATCTGGGCAGGAGTGTGGTCTGGGCACTCAGGAAAGGCGCCCTGCCACTAGATCCTATTGTCATGGGCTGCAGTGGGCCAGATTCCACCATTAAAGGATGTTTTCTTTGGTCAAAGAATGAGACTGTAGGAGTTGTGTTAAAATGCATTCTGCTCAGGAAAAAGGACACATTTACCTCTCTTTTAGGTGTTGTTATATGTGGTTAGAGCAAATCCACATGCTGGGGGCGGAGGGGGGGAGGGAAGGCTTCACACCTAACTCAGATGAGGGCATAGATAGCGATCCAGATTAAGAAACACTGATTCCGGTTTAAGGCTCACTTAGGGCACTTTGAAGTGGGTAGTTGGGGAAGGGAAGCTTGATGACACTAGATGGTGGTATGGAGGCAGGGACAAAGAGGGGGCCAGAAACTTGGAAAGCTAGCAAGGTCTGGGAAACAGAAGTGCATTACTGTACAAGCTGGTCTCAGGCATGCCAACCACCAAGGTTTTTGTTAAAAGTAAGTTGCGTTCAGTTGGTACACAGAGCGTTGGCAATGGGCTTTGGAGTCAGGTTAGAGTTGGAACCCCATTCTGCTTTTTGTCAACCATTATGAACCAGGTTGTTCAACCTCTCTGAGACTGTGAGTCTAAATTATTCTGATACTTGCCACATAAGTTTTTAAGGATTTAATGACTCAAAGCATTTCGTAGATGGTACTTGTTCACCTTTATACACCCGGCACCAGCACGTGACCCCCAGTAAGTGATCAGAAATGTCTTGGGCATGCAGGGAATAGCCCCTCACCCAAGAAGCATGAACATTTCTAGACACAATTCTAAAAATGGAACTTAGATCTTCTCAGAGGTCCTTTCCTAGGCTCTGATGCTGGCTGGGTAACCCATGTATTTATAAGTCTAGATTGAACAACAGACAAAATCCATGGTGACCTAGAGCCCAGAGCGGCTACCCTTTCCTTCTTTGAATGCTTGTGCAGAATTGTTTTCTTTGTCAGAATCTCAGTGCCTTTGAGTATCTTTTTACTTAAATATTCTTTTTTAGGCCATTCATTTAAAGGCATGAGCCCCTTCCTGGTAGCATATATAACCAATTCCAGAGAGATTTATATTAATTCATTTAAGAGCTATCACTAGTCAACAGGCTTTTTCTGGCTATCGCCAAAACTGAAGGAAAACAACTTCCTGTAGGGACAGAATCCAGAGATGTGTATCTTCCTAGTTGTATCTTGGACCCATCATTGCAGTTCTAGCAAAGGGGGCCTGGACTAAGTTAAAAGGTGTTTGAACAAGTGTTGTGGGAGACAAAATATTTCTGATCGCTTGTTACTCTGGCTACTCTGGTTTGAAAGGAATGTTCATAGCCCTGATGATGAGGCAGTTGGACAGAAACCTTTGATCTGAATTCAGTTTTCCCTCCTACTTTTATTTTTGTGTGAGAATGCCCACTATATATCTCACCAAGTTCTCCCAGTAAGATTCCAATTTCATAAAATGCATAAACAAAAAACATGTTAAGTGGGGGATAATTCTCACTAAAAAAAATGCTCAAGAATGATAAAAGACAGTTCTATATATACTTTCCTGCATGCAAAATGCCATATCCTAGTCAGAGGGAAGAAATGTAAAAGAATCAGGTTTTGAATATCCAGATTTCTGAAAGTAAGCTATGCCTTCCCATCTCTTTAAAACCTTCAGCAGTTAGGAGAGAAATTACTATAAAACTACATGGACTTTGAATTTAAAGGCAGGTTTTTTTCTTCCTCATTGGAGATAGAACTGTTTTCAAGCTGTTGAGGAACCAAGTAGCCTAAGGTTTTTCTTGGTAAGCCAAGAGACGACCTAAGTGAGTGGTGACAGGGACGTGAGCTACTTACCTGGAATGGTGGTCCACGCTTCCCTCTGCTTCTCTACACTTCTTTTTCTACCTCCGTTCTCCTTTCCTCTTACTCTTCTGTTTACTAGCCAAAGCATCAGACTTAAACATGACGTAAGAGCAGAGTTTGTTGTACTAAGTTTTATGTTTATATTTTGAGAGCATGGAAGAAATATTTTATATTACTTTAAAAATAAAGAAGTTTAAACTGAAAGTTAAAATTGTTTCTCTGCCTCTAGGCGAGGGAAACAATACTCTGAGGGAGCGCTGTAATCTTTTCGAAGCAGGATGGACTGGATCCATAATATAAATTTGGGTAAAACAAGAGGTACCACAAAGGTGTCAAGCTGAGTCTGTAAGAGCCATAGCCAAATAGGTTTTAAACAAAGGAATACATAGCCCAAAACCAAGGTATTATTTCTATAACCCTTAGTATATATGTGAAGGGAAGGTTAACTTGTTGTCTGGTTTGTGGATTCATTTTTGACTCCCTGCATATTTTAAATCAAATCACAATGTGAAGATGAGCAAATCTAGTTCAGATTTTCTTCCAGGTGGAATTATTGACTAAGTTTCATACACTTAGCAACCTCAGGGGGTATCAGTGAGGTGCCTATGTATCAATGGGCTTCATGTCTCACTGTGACAAAGATGAGACTCTAGAGTATGGGCACATACAGGCCACAAGATGGCACAGCACTTCTGTACTTGGTTGGTCCCTTGTCAACACAGTAGGAAAAAGTCCACTGGGAGGTAGTGTGCTAGGATTCCAGAGCTCATCTTAGTCAATAAATCTGGAAAACAGTAAATGAATTGGCCATCTCCAAGTCCATTCTATATGTTATTAAGGTGAAGACAGTGTTATCAATTTTCTTCTAAATCCTATTCCATTATGCTCGATGAGTATTTAAAAAGTCATGGAACCCTCATAATGTATGTAGTTTAAATAAAGACCCAACACCAGTAGTGATAAATAGTTACCTCAACTATTTCGTGTAATGAAAGCATATGGTAGTGACAACACACAAAAAATGTGAACAAGAATTTATTTCTTAAACTTAAAGGATTAGAGCTGATATATAGGAGAACATTTACGATAACATTTAGAGTTATGTCAACATAAAAACAATAGTTGTGGTTACAATTAGCACATGCAATTCACTACAAAGGTAATACATACAATACCCTCTTTACACAAGCCTTCTGTATGAAGTTAGAATAGGTGGGGGTAAAACAGCAAGTGAACTTGAGAGGATTGCACTTACAAGTAAATGGGACACAGCTGGGATATAAAGAGGAGACATACCTAATGCTAATTACTGTATTGCAGTACTAGCAAATTGCACACTTATTTTTAGAGTATATTATTCAATACATTTAGACAAGGAATTTTCAATCTACCTTTTAAAATATCCCTTTATTAATGACACATCACATTTTGGTATTCATGTAACAGCATTTGAAACATGTAGTTATCATTCAGACAAAGCTTGTGTTTAAGGGATAAAAAGATCTGGAACATCCTGTTACCACTGGCCTTAAGTGCATTTCCATCATGACCTATTAACTTTCAACAACTGGTTCAAGGTAAACTAACCCGAAGGACCTACTGACCTACAAAAAGCTCTTAGAAATTTAGGAACAAATGGGTAACAGAAGAGCTCACTCAGCACTGCCTTCTGTTTATTTTTAATGCAAAATATACTAGACTAGCACCATGCTAAACACACATACTAGTAGCATATAATGAAAAAATATATTAGTCCAAAAAGATACTTCATTTGGCTTTGAGAATTTTTATTTTGACCTACATCTGAATAGTTTATAATTAGTCTAAAAAGGAACTGCTGTCAAGGACCAGTCCAAAAAATTAGGCTGTAAGTTTGCTAGTTTATACCTTCTTTGAAATCAATGACAATGCCCAATTTTAGGCTAAATCTAAATACCTCGCCATTTTATGGCTCCATATTCTCTTAATTTACAGAAAAGTGCAAAAAAAATTTTAAGTGATTACCTAGGCAATAGAATCTAACAAGACCTACAATAGGAAGCCACTCCAATAATTTTTAACAATTGAACTTTTTTATGTAGCTTATTATTTTGACATTTCAACATTATCGAAACTGTATGGTTTAGAAATTTCTTAAAACCAACCAGAGAAGAATAATGTGGAATACAGACATACCTCGTTTTATTGCGCTTCACTTTACTGTGCCTCACAGATACTGCATCTTATCAATACCCAGGCAAGACCCCCCCGCCAGCACAAAGGCTACGACTCACTGAAAGCTCAGATGACTGTTAGCTTTTTTAAAATTAAGGTATATAGATTTTTTTTTTAGACATAATGCTATTGCAGTTATTGCACTACAGTATAGTGTAAACATAACTTACATGGGAAAATCCAAAAATTCGTGTGACTTGCTTTATTGTGTTGTTTGCTTCATTGCCATGGTCTGAACCTAACCTGCAATCTCTCTGACGTATGCCTGTGCATACCTCACTAACTTATATGTGGACTAAATATCACATAACAAACCAGGATTTCTTTGCCCACCTAAAATACAATTTAAACTTACATGCATCAAAACATAGATTATTCAAGACATGCATTAGCAAAGTTATTTTGTACTTAAAACAAGTTTCATTTCTTTTCTTTTTTGGGGCAAAGATGTGTATTACATATTAGTAATGAAATATATGTTTATTTCCTGAATGGATTTTTGCACAGTAACCACATATCCATTTGTCTAAAAGTGATGGTGTGGTTGAGAGGTATTCATTCACCACACCATGTTCTGTACAAGTTACAACAGAGAAATTTGCTTATTCTATACTATATCCTTTCTTAAATGACTTCATTCTCATTCCCTTAACATCATGAGTTCACATTTTCTAGTTGACTCCTTCCCATGTACAAACTTCACAATAAAATGTTCTTCTATCACTGCTGTTTGTTATGAGGAAGGTTACAACTAAACACGATTACAACAACATGACTACTAATTTTGAGGAAATGAAACATGTTATAAATTTCTTGACATTTAACAGATAAATCTAATGCTGCTTTGGACCAGCCTTTGATGACTAACTTAAGTGATGGTGATGCCGTTATTTTGTAGTGTATGGGGTCGCTCTGTCCCTACTTGATCTCTCTGTGCCTAATTTTCCTCATATACTTCTCATTCTGTCATTCTATCAATCTCATGTTGGTTTTGCCTAAAATATTACTGGATATATAACAATAAAGCATCTGCTCTGTCTCACAAAGACCATACATGTGAAAGAACTCTGAAAAGTATTAGGCAAGAATACAAAGGATAAAGTGTAACAAGAAGTCTAATGTGAACAAAATTCTGATGAGTAGAATTCTATTTCAACTGTGAATGTATACCAATGTTTCTTAGCCTTTTATTCTTCACTAACTTCTATAAACTATTTTAAGTTGGCCTGATTTCTGTAACTTAAGTGACAGAAAAACAAAACCTATTTCTCCAAACTTACTTGATAGCAGTACTCAGCCACTAATGATTTATGACAATTTCTTCTTCCTTACTCAGCTCCTATCCTTAGCCCCTGCCTCCTCATCACATGTGGCGGCTGGGAGATGGCATAAACTTGAAAGTGGGCTGAGCACTCAACTCTGGAGGCCTGACTCATTTATCCCCCCAAGAACAGAATGTGTGGGAAGAGGTTTAAAATATTCCTAAATCACAATGTAGAACTAAGTTCCACCTACCTCAGAACTGGCAGATATTAAAATAGTAACTGAGATATTTACTAAGACCAATATGTAGATTTTTGGGTTGTGGTTTTTTTTTTTTTTTTGTGGTGAGTACTGCCCAAGTCTTCTACCTTAGTTTGCTTCAAACACCTACTAGAAAAAAAGAATTTTCAATCAGCCTACATAAAAATAAAAAAGCATATTAAAACACATTTTAAGCTGAAGACATTGTATAAAGTGCTTCATCAACCAAATTCTCTGAAATCTTAACAAGAAAGGTCAATGTTTATATTAAAAATGTTAACAATTTTAGCCTTTATAAATAGCAAAGAATTTTTTAAATGTTTAAGATAGTCTGGCATTCATTCCTAGCTCTTATCTGGGAACTCTGCTGAATTTGCAAAATGGACCTTCAAAGAGGTTGTTAATGATAGCAAATTTTTGGAAATTTAGATTACTGATTATATAATATTCAAAAATTAGTATTTTTAATTTGCCAAGTTAAAACTCCAGGATTCCTCTTCTCCAGTAACTGGCAGCATCGTTACCAATGAAAGAGAACTAGTATTTTATGTGTTGGTATGAGTATAAATGAGCCCCATTTTTTTCTTTTTTTGGTCAGACAACAAAAGTTAGGCTCATACATATAGTTAGGCTGTCTGGACCTCTTTTAAAATTATGTTGTCAGCTGACAGAGCATAAATCAGTAAGGTGTAGACCTTGCTCCTCTAATTCTTTGTTATCTCTCCCTAGGGCCACTTTATTTGATGACTATTTGCATTCAAATAAGTATAGCTGTGCTAAGTTTATCACTGCTTATTATTTAAATACCTTCTGTTTTCTAGGTAACAGTTTTACTTTATAAATTTCAGAGAAGCTTTCTGTTTTTCTTCAGTGCAAACATCCTGAAACAGCACAAAGTCATTCAGCTATTCAGAGGAGGAAGTCAGTTTCTGTAGTGCTTAAAGTAGAATCCCACGTTTTCTGGGATGGAAATAGCCCACGTGGGAGGACAGTACATTCTTGTCCTTCAGGGCAAATGATCATCATCACTGAGTGAAGATTATTTTTATCTGCAATCCAGATAAAATATTTTTAGCTTTCCTTTACAGGTACTGCTGAAACTGTAACAAGAACTGGTCTTTCACTGAGGCATGTAGCCACCTCGTCTTACGGTCTGTGGTAAGTAACTTTTTGGCATTCCTTCATCAGTTGCAGCCTCCATCCCAGTGGTTTCAAATCTCTCGACTTGTCCCTCAGTACCTGGACCAAAAGCATCTGCTGCAGAAACTTCCTGAAACATTTTCAATTGCCCAGATCCATAGGGCTGTGAAATATGATCTGGAATCTGCTGCTGTTTAAGTCTAATGAAATCTTCGTCACTGATTGATGAAACTTGCTTTGACCTTTCAAATTGTGAAATATCTGGACTGGTTTCATGTTGACTGCAGTTCTGTTTGAAATACTGTTGCCTGGGCAAAATGCTGTCGCTGCCATCTACGTTATCTACCAGCTGCAGCTCTTCTGGCCGTTCTTCGGAATCTAACAGGGGTTGGGTAGACTCGGACCTTGAGAACACTTGGACTGATGGGACTTGGTGTCTGTAGCCACTATGCACCACAGTGGAGTACTGGACAGTGCTTGAAGTGTTTTGCGCAGATTCATTTTCATCACTGCTAGAAATGCTTGGCCTAGAAGATGACATGCATGAAGACCCTCCAATGCCACTGCTGTGTCCTTCAGTACTAATTTTCTCCTTCTTGAATAGGTCCAGTGATTTCAGATCTTCTGGAAAAGGCTTTTTGTCGTTAGCTTCTATTTCCACAACACTTACATCAGTGAAATTGCCATCTGAATACATTTGATCTTTTGAATTAAAATTATGCTAAGAAAGAGAGAAAATGGATTATTACCTATGGCATACATTCATTTAGAAACTCTGAAATATATATGGCAAATGTTAAAGCCACAGAGCTAATGCATCTCTGAAACTTCTCAATAACTTTAATGGTGCAGAGATAGTCTATATCATCAAATCAGTCAACTACTTGAATCACAGGTATTGTGAAATGATTCTAAGTAGTATGAATGAATCAGGCTGTATTTCCTCAGAATTCCAAATCATACTGTTGATGTTCCATTTTGATAAGCTAATTCATGCCTAGACAAGGTAGCATACAATTAACTGGGTAGGAAAACTAGAAAACATTAAGAAAAACCAAACTCAAATGACTGAAGTTTCATAGAATATAAAATACACATTTTAATCTGTTAATATAAAATTCAAGGATTAGAAGGTAATATGTACAAATCATTTCATCAGTGTTAAAATGTAGCCAATTATTACATTTGATTTTAATATCCAATCTAAAATGCATGCCTTACAGAGTTATCATAAAACAGTATTGAGAGCTATCACATAGCAGTATTAACACTAAGTTCTCCATTATGTAATATCAAGATATTAATATCTGATATTAGGAATAACAGAATGAATATGCTATAATGATAAGCTATAAAATGTATAGGTACTATTTTAAATTTTGATTAAAATTCTCATTTATGTGCTATTTTGTTTTCATTTACTTTTCGATTCAATCTAATTATCTTTTGGTTGAACTCTACAAATGTATCTTAATAAGCATATGTATTATAAACAAGTCAGAAACATTTTATCTTACCCTAGGAGGTGTGTGAGGTGACCACTGGGCAATATGACTCTTTGAAGGATCTGGAACATTAGGCCAGATGTGCTTTTTAATTCTGGAGAGAAAAGAAATATGGTATATGTACAACCATATGTAATAAACAATGAATAGTCCCTATTTCTAAACATGTTCATCTAAGAATCAAACCAATTAAGTAAAACAAAAAAAAATAAGTAAAAAAAACAATACCTATTTTATCTCAAAGTCAATAAAAAAATTACCTTCCTTGTAATCAGTAGAAAAATACTATTTAAAATGCTTAAGGATCTTAATCCTAGTCAAAATAAAACACTGTAATAAGGCTAAAACTATTTGATTGTCGGAAAAGTCATGACGCATTTTTGTAATGAAAAACATAGAAAAAATACGTCATGACTTTTCTGACAACCCAATAGTAATCAATGTTCAATTAGGAAAATATCTGAAATTAAATTCTGCAATAAAAACCACTTAAAAACTTTAGCCAGGTCACAAAATGTTGTGGCATACCCCTTCCCAGCAAAAAAAGCAAAAATGTTCAATTTCCAACTAAAAGAGTCAAGATAACAGTTTCACATTGGTACCAGATAAAATATGATAAATTTTATTTTTCAAAACAAAGACTAACAGTATTAAAAACACCCAATTAATACAGGATATCCTCATCAGAAAAAAAACCCTACTTATGTATGTTTACCTTAATATAATTTGTAGCCCAAAGTTAGAAATTCATTAGTGTACTTAAGTATACAGGAAGTGAGTCATCTTGAGAATAAGTTCAAACATAAAAATGAGTAATAAGATCCTACCAGACTGACTCTCCTGTACGAACAAGTATAAAATCTGGACATAATATAAAAAGCAGTCAAGTTAACAACCTAGATGAACAGACCAACCCAATCAATGGATGAATTCCTTGAAACACACAAATTACCAAAACAGACTAAAAAAACAGCCGTATATTTATAAAGAAATTAAATTTTTATTAAAAATCTTCCCACAAAGAAAATCTCAGGCCCAGGTGGCTTCATTTGTGAATTCTATCAAATATTAAGAGGAAATAATATCAATCCTACACAAAAACTCTCAGAAAAGAGGAGGTAACATGTCCCCATTAATTTCATGAAGCCATTTTATGGAGCTAATCAGTGTTACCCTGATTCCAAAACCAGACAAAAACACTACAAAAAAAGGGCAGAACAGTATCACTCATGAACACAGATGCAAAAATTATTAACACAGTGAATCCAGAAAACTCCAAGGAATGAAAAGATGGTTTACCATCTGAAAATCAATGAATAAAATCTACCATGTTCATGGAAGAAGGGATAAAAATCACATAATCACCTCAACAAATGGAGAAAAGGCATCTGATAATGTTCAACACCCATTCATGACAAAAACTTTCAGCAAAATAGAAAACTTCTTCAACTTGCAACTATTATAATATCACATGCAATGGTGAAAGACAATACTTTCTTCCCTAATCAGGAATAATGAAAAGATGTTGGCCCTCACCACTTCTATTCAACACTGCACTTGAGGTTTAAGCCAGTACAATAAAAAAAAAAAAAGCTAAAAGCATAAAGATTGAAACAACCATCTTTACTTGCAGGCAGCAGGACTGTATATATAAAAAATCCCAAGGAATCCAAAAAGCTACTAGAGTAAATGAATTTATAGTCTAAGTATACAAGATCAATATATTTTTTTTAAAAAAATGGCACGTCTCCATATTAGCAATGAACTAAAAAATTAAAAAAGAAAGTCCATTTACAGTAGTATCAAAAATACTTAAGAATGAATTTAACATTAAGATCTGCAAGGCCTCTCCACTAAAAACTACAAAACACTGCAAAAGGAAATAAAAACCCAGATAAAGAGATATACTATGTTCATAGGCAGAAAGACTCATGAACATGTGAACTCAAGTTTCAGATTGTTTTTTCCCCTAAATTGATCTGTAGACTCAATAAAATATCAATCAAAATTCTAGCAGGGTTTTTTAAAAAAATGATATTGGTAAGCTGGTATTAAAATTTACATAAAAAGGCAAAGAACTTAGCCAAAATAATTTTGAAAAACAAAATATTGGAGGAATTTCACTACCTGTTCTCAAAACTTACTATAGAGCCATAATAATCAAGAGCAACATTGGCATAAATAGACATATAGATCAATGGAACACAGAGTCCATAAATGGATCCAAACCTATATGAACAATTGATTGTCACAAAGGTATCAGGCAATTCAATGAAAAAAAGATAAGTCTTTTCAATAAATGATGCTGGAATGACAAAACATCTATGGAAAAAAATGAACTTTGACCCTGACCTCATACCATGCACAAAAATCAATTCTAAAGAGATCATAGATATAGAGCTAAAATGATTAAACTTCTAGAGGAAAACGTAGGAGAACATATTTGTGACAATGGGTTAGGCAAAGATTTCTTAAACAGGACATAAAATGCAAGAACTATTAAAAACAAACAAACTGATAAAATGGGCTTCATCAAAATTAAAAACTATTCCTTTTCTAGTCATAGTTAAGAAAATAAAAAGGTTGGGCCTGCCGAGCGGCTCAGCTAGTTAAGAGCATGCGAGCTCTGAGCAACAGGGTTGCAGGTTCGATTCCAACATGGGCCAGTGAGCTGCGCCTGAGCTGCCACTAAGCTGCCAAGGGGTGACTGGATGGCTCAGCTGGTGAGAGCACATGCTCCTAACAAGGTTGCCAGGTTCAACTCCCGCTTGGGATCGTGAGCTATGCCCACTGCAGCTAAGACTGAACACGGCACCTTGAGTTAAGCTGCTGATGGATGGCCGGATGGCGACTGGACTTGGAGCTGAGCTAGCTGCGCCCTCCACAACTAAGATTGAAGGACAACAACTTGGCTGTTCTCCTTTCCCAATTCCCCAACACTGTTCCCCTTCCCCAATTCCCCAATAAAATCTTTAAACAAACAAAACAAAAAAAAGAAAATGTAAGCCACAGACTAGAATTTGCAAAACATATATATGACAAAAATTTGTAATTAGATACGTATGTAAATAAGAACCTTTACAGCTCAATATTAACAAGACACACAACCCAATCTAAAAAATCACTAAAAGATTTCAAAAGACACACCGCGGAAGAAGATATATAAGTGGGACATGAAAAGATCCATTACTAATTCTCAGGGAAACGGAAATTAAAACCACAATGAAAGCACTACACACCCATAAGAAAGAATGGTTAAAATAAAAAACCCTGACAGTACCAAAGGCTGGTGATGATATGGAACAATTGAAACTCTCACATTGTTGGTGGGAATACAAGATAGTATAGCCACATTGAAAAATGGTTTGACAGTTTCTTATAAATTTAAATATGCACTTACCATATGACCCAACAATCCCACTATTTAGGTACTCAAGATAAATGATAACATATGACCACACAAAGATTTGTATGCAAATATTCATAGCACCATTATTCATAATAGCCAAAATCAAACAAACAACATGAACTTCCGTAACAGATGTATGGATGAACAAATTTTGATATCTATACTACAGAATACTATTCAGCAATAAAAAGAAAAAATTAGTATATGCAACATGGATGACTCTCAAAAAATACGCTAAGTGAAAGATGTCATACACAAAACTACAGTCACAAAGCAGATCATGATTGCCTGGGGTTGAGGGAGAGGATAGGCTACAAAATAGAAATGAGGAAACTTTTTAGGGTGATAAATATGTTCTCTATCTTGATTGTCATGGTAGTAATACATCTGTATACAGTTACAAAATCCAACAAATTGTACACTTAAAGTGTATGAATTTTACTGCATGTAAATTATAGCTCAATAAAGCTGGGTATAAATGCAAAAATATGAATAAGGGTACTTACAGGTCTCGTTTATTAAAGCAGAACAATACTCCTAAAAGGGTTGTCAACAGGAATGCTAAGCAAACAGGCACAACTATGGCTTCAATTTCTCCTTGAGCTAAATTAAAAAACAAGAAAGGGGTAAGTAGGAAAATAACTATTGACAGATATGCTAAAGAAAAATAATGCAGCTTCCCAACCAGATTGCAGGCATACCTCTAATTTTATTGCGCTTCGCTTTATTGCTCTTTGCAGATATCTATCTATATCTATATCTATATATATATATAGATATAGATATATATATATTTTACAAATTGAAGACCCTCCACCAGCAAAAAGATTATGACTTAC